CTAAGAAGGGGGGGGGGGGCGGGGAAAAAAAAACCGGCGCGCCCCCCCCCCCAAATTTTTTTCCCAAAAAAAAAAAAAAACTTTCCCCCCCCCCCCCCCCCGGCGCAAAATTTGGGACCCCCTTTCCCCCGGGGGGGGGGGCCCCCCCCCCCCCCCCGGAAAAAAAGGGGAGGGGGGGGGGGGGGGGGGGGGGGGGGTACTCACATCTTGCATGTCTTAGCGGTTACATCATTGACCACGCGTCACCGAGGGGACGGAGCACTGTTCCCATAGGGTCGATCACCGATGGCCAATCGTTCCTTCCTACTTTGCTGACGGCGGTTATAAAATGGTGTCCCTGCCCTATCTATCCTATCGGTATCACTCCCCCGCCTTTTCAGCCCACTTCCAACGCGCCAGTACATACAACTACGCCATTCCATGCCTCAAACATCTCCCTGTAACTCTCTTCTATTTTTCCCGGGGGGGGGGTATATAATCCGTCTTTTCTTGCCGGCATGCAAAGGCTGCCATCGTGACACTCGGTACGCCGGCTAGCGCAGTCGATGCCACGTAGCCAGGAACAAAGAGGCAAAACTACCCACACACACCTCAAGGGTCCCAGATCATGGCCTTTACAAGCGTTTTCCGCATTGAGACTGACCTTGTTTCACTGCTCTCCACCCGGTTAGTGCGGTCGATGCAAATAAAAAAATAAATAAAAAAACACACACAAGCTACGGAGATGGAACACAACTCACTTCTCCTGCAGCTCCAGCACCCCGCGGCTGAGCGCCTGGGGCACGCAGGTGTGGTCCATCAGCAGCGAGGACAAGAAATCGGCGAACTGCTGGTCGTCGCCTGGCCCGTCGGGGACCGGACACTCCACCAGCTCGCGCATGATGCGGGCGTACCACCTGTTGTTCGACGACGGTTTTCCATTTTCACTCATTGCATATTGATAACAAACATCTGGGTGGGATACTTCTCCTTCGTACACCCGCCGCACTGCTGCTGCTGCTGCTGCTGCTGCTGCTGCCATGCTCGCGCTACATCAACCAAACACGCTGCAAAGCCTACTCAACGAACCAGACGTACGACCAAAAGGATGCTTCAGATTGGAAAGTAAAAAAAAACACACAAACAGGAGAACTATTGTGTTCATACATACTATTAATAGTAGTTACTCACTCAGCGGCCTCAAGGACCGGTGCCGTGTGGGACAGGCCGTACGGAAGATGTCGCAGTTCCAGGGCCCTCTTGGCGAACCGGATGGGAACCTGGATTACCGGCGCCGAACCATGGATCCATCGACGGATACCAAGCGGAACGGATGGATGCATGAGACGGGAGCCGAACCATGGATCGACCGCGACGGATACAAGCGGAATGGATGGATGGATGCATGGATGAGTCGAAGTAAATCCCAAATCTAAGAATTTGGCCTTAAGAACATGTGTGTGCTCAGTCAAGAATCCTACAATAAAACCTATATATTCGCCGTGGGGGTAGTCTACCCCATAGAAGAAAAAAAGAAACGGGCCTCGGGAAAAACAAGAGGTTCGTAACTGGTGGCGCGTTCTGTACAGCAGTAAAATAAAACAAGGCGGCGTCGCAAGCATCGATACAATCCATCGACAGGCGGGTTGAAAGGGATTGCCTGGTGCATAGAGCAGCTCCTGCACGTCAGCGACCGTCGGCGGAAAAATGTAACAACGCCTAGAGGAGTGAAAAATTACAAAGATCTGGATGGAATGGCTCGATGGATTCATCGATTCCTCGAAGGTGATATGTACCAAGCCACTAAAAAAGCGCGGAGAAGAACCCAGCCCATTGGTCCACATACTTGATAACATAACAGGGCGACACGGATGCACCGATGCACGAAATCGCTCGGTTCCTGTTGTGGCCCTTGGGTTCACTAAAAAGGCCACGGGCCACAGAGACACCTCCTCTCCCTTCCCCAGCTGTGTGCCTTGCTTTCCATCTACCTGCACGTTGCATGATGTACATAGTCTGTTTTAGTTTCCCTCCCTCTCGCTTTGCTCGTTCCCCTTGTACTCGCCCTCCACTCTTCCTAACTTCACCCCTCCCTCTCTGTCTGTCTGTCTCTGTCTGTCTGTCTGTCAGTCTCTCTCTCTCTCTCTCTCTCTCTCTCTCTCTCTCTCTCTCTCTCTCTCTCTCTCTCTCTCTTTCTCTCTCTCTCTCTCTCTCTTCTCTTTTTTCGCTGGCTCTCACCTCGCGGTGCAGAAACTGAGCCTGCCGCACCCTCGAAGCCACGCTGCTGCTCTGACAAAACGCGTGGATATCCCTCAGAGACAGGGGGGTGGCCTCCTGCACCGATAGCGTCGCCAGCAGCTCCTCGTCTGCCGCCGAAATCCGCGGCGACCGAGCCGGAGGCGGCGGCGGAGGCGGCGGCGGCGACTGCGGCTGCGGCTGCGGCTGCGGCTGCTGTTGGCGCGGGCGCACCTTCGGGCTACTCGCAGCATTACCCGCGGGTAGCGACGAGAAAACTCGCCGATTTTTTCGCCGCCCTGGGACATCCGCAACGCCGCCGTTACCGGCCCCGCATCCGTCCTCTTTACTGCCGAACGTCGTCAAGGAAGAAGAGGGGCCGCCGTACTCGAAAGACGATCTCCCCCCCGGCCTTCCGGGAGGGGGGTGCGACGCTGTAGCCGCCGCTGCCTCGCCCGGCGGTCTCGCTTCTGCCCTCGTGCCTGTTGTTGTTGTTGTTGTTGTTGTTGTTGTTGTTGAAAACAGCGGCAACGCGCTCGGTGGTGGCGGTGCTGTCGGCGGGTGTGTCGCTCTCGCCGAGGCCGCCGAGGAAAAGAAGAGCGGGGGGCTGGTACTGTTCCGGCTGCCGCCGGCGGCGTCGGCGGCGTCGTGCGTCGGCGGCCGCGGTTGTTGTTGGGAGTAAACGTCTCCGCCTAGTGTCATCGTCGCGGCCGGCGCTGTTGCCATTGTCGCTGAATTTCTGGTCTCCGTTACTCCCCCCAGCACGCCGGATGTGCGCACGCCGCTCCGAGCCAGCCCGCCGGCACCGCCTATCCTCGCCCTGTCGAAGGCGGCGGGGCCGCCGCTTTGTCCTTCGCCGCCGCCTGTAAGCCCCCGGTTGCCGACACGCCGTGGTTGGGGGATTTTTTTTGATGTCGCCGCCCCATGCTGCGTGTGACGACAGACAGAAGATTGGTACCGACGGCAACAAGCAGGAAGAAGGTGGCAGCGGCCGTGTCAGTTGGCGGGAAGCAGGCGTGCTGCGCGAGAGTGATCGCTTGTTGGAGACGAACCTATGCTGCTGCTGCTGCTGCTGCTACTGCTGCTGCTCCCGCTGCCTACACTACGCTGCTCTGGCAAAATCCTGATGACAGGAGCACGCGACATGTGGCTAGACACGGGCTTGCGAGAAACACACACACACACACACACACACACAAACCAAAAATTGGACGGTGGGATTTTCGAGGAAGAAGGTGCTGCTTTTAACCCAGAAGGCGTGACTCAATTGCAAAGGTGGCAATGCAAGAGTACGGCGCCCCATACCCCACACACACATCTACTGCAGGTAGTAGTAGTAGAATATCTCTGTCTCTGTCATGGTTTCAAGACGTGCCAAAACCTGACGTTATTATACTAGGTGTGATACTTTCAAATAACTTTCCCTGCTAGTTCTACGCGCCCCTAAGCTGCTGCTGCTAGTGCTGGGTGCCAGTGCCGGGTGAGACAATATTAATACGCCCCGGGGGTCAAAAGCTGGGCTGGCAGCACTTGCTGGCTGTGCACGTCAACATTGTGGGTTTGGGTATGTGTAGGGCGGGAAAGTCCCCACTCATTAATCGTTAGGTAGTTATCCCCTCTCTTCTGTGCTTGTATTTTACACCTCGTTTGCTTGGGCAGGTGGCACACACAAATAGCTTTTGCCGTTTAGGTGACGCCAACGAATCACCCCCCCGTGGTTTCTGAACCTGTGCAGGATCGACGCAAATATAGGCCATCACCCAGCCAAGCGACTAGTTATTGCTTCAGCGTCTACCGCTACGTGTGCGGTAAAATAATACAGGTGATGCATGTGCTTCTCGTGTACCTATGCGGTACTGGGATCAAGCGGAACGCAAACATCGCACTGCAGTTATTAGACTCACACCCATGTTAGACTTTCAAAATTCGCCGCATCGTTGTACTTCTTCGCCAACCATTTTCCAGAGGAACTTCTCAACCAATCCACACCCACACACCCACCCGTGTTATCCTACCGCCTCGTTACTTGTCCGTGTCGTTCGCACACAAGATGGAACCCACTCCGCATGTTTCTGATGGCTACACGTTGTTGCCGTAGGAGTCCGTAGGGAGTCTATCATTTATGAGCCTTTACGTGAGTCACCCTCTCCACAGGCCTTTTGTTTACTCAGGCCGAGCACGGCCTAAAATGCAGCAGCAGCAGCAGCAGCAGCAGCAGCAGCAGCAGCAGCTCGTATGTAAGGTGTTAGGGCCTACAATGGAGCCGTTTGTTGTTCTTGCAAGCTGTCTTTTCGCGAAGCACGCGCCAGACATCGCATCTGGAGCTAACGTGCGTGCCGCTCTCCGCTGTCATCTGCACCCAACAAGTCTCCACACGCATACATTGCTATCGGAGTATCTGGAAAGGAGCTCTTTCAGCACCTATTCGTCGATCGTCGTGGACCCTGCCAACATTTTTGCTCAATGCCAGCGCTCTTGTAGACAAGGGTGCTCGGGGTTAAAATACATCGGGGCCGGCCGTTCGTTGGAACGGCGGCGTGGAGCAACAGCTTCAAGTTCCTAGGATGACGACAAAAAGGCTCATGTACGACATTCCTTCTTCATCTCCGAGCGCCTCTCGCGCAGAGGTGGTGCAAGCAGAGGAAAACCCTCTAGCTCTACTTCTGTTGCATACACGACCTTTGTTCAGGGCTCTGGCAAAGGAAGGTCCCATGGCGCCAACGAAGTAAAAAAGTCACCATCATCATCTGTGTCTTTGGCACGAAGGGACACATGGGACCTGTGTGACACACCTTGACGTGTCCGGGCTGTGCGATTGCGAACGATGACGATGAAGACGCGAAACGCTGCCGAACCAGCGGGCGACGGAGGTTGGCCGCCGCCGCCGCCGCTACCACGGCCGGCTGCGATCGCCGTAGAGAAGAAGACATAGAAAACTGCCACAGGGGGCGTGCCTATCCGTCTGGGTCTGGCAGGCTGGGTCCAGCACCTGGCGGTCCGCCTTTTTTGCTCCCGCCGTGAGGGGGACGCACCTGGGATAAAGCAGAGGATGCTAAAGTACCATTTGCAGCGACTCCCCCTGGTCGCAGCATGTCGCCCACGGATGTGATTATCATCGCATCACAAGAGGAAGGGGCGGTATGTCCAGCTGGATCAAGGTCACCGTGGTTTTGCACTCGTTAGAACCGCCGAGATTCGGATTGCGCCACCCATACTCCAACGCTCTCATTGCGGTATACAAGGTACGGCGCGTTTGTACGTCCCGATATTTTGATATTTTGGATTTGAACTCGACACGGCAGCAAGCACCACGGAGGACTGCTGTGTTCAGGATGTACTGCTGTACTTCGTAGTGAGAGGGCGGTGCTCATGTACAGCGACCATGGCTCGTGGAAGCAGTAGGCGCACAGAAGAGATAACGAAAACCTGATGCGGGACACAGCAGTAAAATCAAGAAGTGTGAGAAGGCGACGGGAATGCTGTTGTCTGCACCCCAGGGAAAATGGAGAATGCGGTTGAATGTTTCTTTGAAATGCTACTGCTCCTGCTCCTGCTACTGCTGATGGTGGTGGTCTACAGATACAGATACATGGCGTATGCGGTTGCACTCAGCTCTGCTGCCGCAAACCTACGGGCGACTAGGAGACCGTGTTCGCAGCAAACACGGATTACATGCACTTCCTCCATCAACTCGAGCGAAGCCGGGAGCGCAATCGAACCCATGCCCCACGGCTCAACGCACCGCAATTTTTCAAACGTACTGTAACCCTCTCCTCTCCTGTAGTACTGGATTCCCAAGTGGGGACACTTTGGGGACACAGCGCTCAAATATTTGCCTACGTCCATTTACCACACTGCAGTCACCCTAGGCTCCGCTATGTACAACGCATGTTAGAACCCTTGGTCTATCATGCTTGATTGAGGTGGTACGCTGTGTGATTTACTGTGCGGCCTCTCCTGGGCCTCTGACTTTCTGTACACAATCTCCCAACCCGCGTGCCCACTACTGTAGGTCGTAAAACTGTACATCGCCTGGTCCTGGTAGAATTTGCTGACTTGGCTTCAGCATGAAAAGTTTCCCCATGTGTTTTGGGGACACTTTTCATACTGAAGCCAAGTCACCCTTTGCCTGGCAAGGAGCTCAGATTCTTTGGAGGGACTGTAGCCCCTCGACCAATGGCTGCCAAACATTGTTGCGACATTTTTTTTTGCGGAGGGACTGGGTACTAGGAGGGTTAGACTTGACTCGACGATGACGACGACAATGATCCAGCGCTTCCTTTCTACACAGGAAAGCATACCAGCTCGTGAACCGCAACAGTACACCCGGATACATATTTTGACAGAAATCGGGAGGGGAGGGAGGGGGGGGGAGGTCTTCTGTGCGCGGTACAGTAGTTTTCGCGGAAAAACAAAGGTTATGATTGATGGAACAACCCAGACGTGTTGTATCTTGCCCAAGAGAACAAGCACGATGTCGTTAGGTGTTTCTAGGCATTCGGCCAAGAGCTTTTTTCACTACCACAATGTACGAGGCGCCAACAACGTGGTGGCCAACATCAAGCTTCCCAACCTTCCAAGCAAAGCATGCATTTTCGTGTCCTTCGCACAACCACCAATCTTTTGTGTAGCCTCAACGCTCAACAGGTGAATCGGGGCACGTATGTGCCGCTTTCACGCCACCCCGATCATTACATGCGGTAGTTCTGACCCGGCCTTCGGGTGGCAGGCCTCGTGTGCCGCTGCTGTACCTTGCGGACGATCACTTCGCCCGACCCCTTTTGCGTGCGGTCGGTGCTCACGAAGTACAGCTCTCTCGGATGACTCGGGCCTCGCAAATGTGTGGGTCATGTACTTGGTCGTGTGGTCGGAGATCGCACTGCTACACCACGCGTTTTCTCGTACAGCCCGGTCGAGAATCAACATCCTGTGCGACCGGAACAAACGTTTCGTGGTTGATCTGATTTTGGAAGACCTACCCAACACGTTCGCATTGCAGACGCCGTCTTGATGTGGTTGTTTCTTTCTCTTACCGCTTGTTTGTTTGGCCGTTGAAGTCGACTTCTTTGTTGCGAACCCTGGTCGTGTGTGTTTTGTGTGTATCTCCGTGACTGCTGCAGGCTATTTCCGACTCAGTTTTCGATCACCCCAACAGGCTGTGGCACTTTCCGCTGGGCTTGCGCACGGAGGTGGTCAAGAAAGTCAGGTAGGGTGGTGCTGGTCGTCGTCATTGTCATTGTTGCCGTCTTCGTGCTGTTGCACACGTCTTTGTTTTGGTTTTGTCGCGATAGTCGTTTATCGTCCTTTTTCAGCCAAGAAGGCCGGCCCTCCCTTCTGTCCCGACCTTCCTCAGGGAGGAAAAAATGAGCCGAGATTGTTTGCGTGGCGTGATTCGTTCTATTTAGTAGGCTCGGGTCGTGTGTTGCTTGCATCCACGAAGACGATCCTCTTGCCGCGTGCATATCACGCGCAAGCCCCCGCTTCCTCGGTGTGTGGCTCTGGTCATCGCGAGACCGCTACGATGCGCACGCGATGGTGCCTAATTGTCCGTGGCATGCTCCCCCAAGGTGCTTGTGAAGCCGGCCCTGGCGTTTGCTCTTTTTCCGTGAGTGCGGTCGGTCCACGTTGCATGTCATTCCCTCGGGCGTGACGCAAACAAGGCTGACTTTTCAACGGAAAATTGCCGGCGAAGGTGCGGGGCGTTTAACGCCCACGCGCTTAACTCACGTGTCGTGTACCCCCCGCTCTCGTTGAACCTGACGAGTGTCACCTGACCCCCCCCCCCCCCCCACTCCCTACCCCGAGTAATTACGGTGCCCCCTGTTATCGGGGGACACGAGCTCAATGGTGAAAATGACGACGAACACATGATAAAACCGTATCCCGCGCCCCGGCCCTCACCCTTCCGTACCCCCACCGCTCCTGCACGCCTTCTGTGCTGTACTGCTGCACCCGTGACGTGTGTCGTGATCTCCGAAACAAAAAAACACAACGAAAGGGGCGTCGCGGGAACGGAGATCGAGGACCTTCCGCCCTTCGTGGAGACTCTCCTCGCTTCTATCAAAAAGGTGCTTGTGGTATATATCATTCAATGACATGAATATTTTGTTTGTTTCATAGCCATCGATCGCTGTCGACCCGAGCACGTGGGTCGCACAGGGTTCCAGAGACTCGAGCTGCTGTGTACTCAGAGCGGAGATCCTGTCGCAGGGCGTTTTGTTTTTGTTGTGCGGTTTGCCGTCGTCTTGCGGTCGTTGTGATCGATCCCGCTTTCTTTGGTACTTCCGTGCATGACTCCGGCCTGGAGGGCACTGACTGCTGTGCGCTAATATATAGTGGCCAATCGTCGTCATCATGGTGTTTTGCCTCCCTCAAAAGAAGAGGGTCGGTGATCGGTTACATGATGTCTCTTGTCCTGACCCTTGCCTGGCTGATGGTCGTTCGTTCCTAATTCCATTGTCTTCAACCCCCCTCCCTCTTTCTCTCTTTCTCTCTTTCTCTCTTTCTCTCTCTCTGTTTCTCTGTTTCTCTGTTTCTGTTTCTCTCTTTCTCTCTCTCTGTTTCTCTCTCTCTTTCTCTCTCTCTTTCTCTCTCTCTCTTTCTCTCTCTCTCGGCTGCAACTGTTGCTATCCCAAACCGGTGTGTCCAATGTGCCTTTCAGGATGGCTCTGATGCCTTGTCGGAGCAGGAAATGAAGGACGAGATCAGCCTAAGGATGGAAAGCGTGCCTGAGGATCTCATGTCGACTCTCTACCAATTTCAGGCGGGATACCCGTTGTCCAGACCAGACAAGAAAAACGAAAATCGCGAACCGAAAGAACAAACTGAAACAACGACACTGAACACGAATAAACCAACCCGCAACCCAAGCCACAAATCTAGAGAGGGGGGGGGGGGAGGGAGAGGGAGCGGGAGGTTGAGATCGGTAAAGCCATGCCGCGGAACTTGACGAACGAGCAGAACAGCGGGCATGGGCACACCCAGCAAAAAAATATATATATGTAAATATAAATGTATTTGAAACCTTAGGGAGGCAGTCGTCAAGAAATGGTTTCGATTAAATCCAGAACAGAACGATTGCACCGTAGGTTTGTATAAGGCACCCCACCCCCTGGGCCGATTTTCAAAGCCCGAATACTCTGCGGCACAATTCGTGACGGCAGCGAAAAATGGGGGCGTTGGGACACGTCTGATGGAGGGCTTTCCGAAATGAGACGCAAAAGTCGTTTGCCCTACTTGTAGGCGTTCTCTTCGTTGTGGTGCAAACCTATTGTATACCTAGCTTGAAAATCGGCCCGTCCAGAGGGCGTGACATCTTTCGCAACCTACGACACGTTGCGCGTTTTTTTTCTTTTTGCCTGGACCGACCAATATTGTGAACGCCTTTTCGCGCGTGGGAAAACCCGCAGGTGGAATGCCTCAGGTTCGCGATCAGGAAGAAGGGGAAGCTTCTGTTAGGTGAGGGCCTGCTGTATAGAGGGGGGGGAGGAGTGTGAGTGTGGGAGATGCATGTGTGAGGGTGTGTGTTCGTCCGATCTTTCTTTCCTGCACCAGTCCATACACCTTGTGGTGTACCAATACTATGTGTTTGACCATCGGCCTGGGTCATTCAAAAAGGGTGTATGTATGTATGTTGTATGTTTCGGAGATGAGGTGTCTCGGGTTGGGTAGGTAGGGGGGTTCTGTCTTGGGGTGGGGTGGCAGCTCCTATATGTTCGACCAAGCTCGTTTAGTGGAGTTTACGTGCCTGGTGCAGCTACCGTTCAAGGGCACAAGCCTTCCATTGCCCCCGCGCCCCCCCCCCCCCTCCCCTCTTGAGAGACTGGTCCGGTGAGAACACGGCGTGCTCCGCCCGGCTTTGTAGGGATGATGCGAGGTCAATGGTCTAAGGAATACGGCATGCACGACTATGAGTACACACACACACCCTCGTGCGCTCACGGTAGGAGCGCGACCCGTTCGGCTCACGATGTGGGGGGGCAGCGGACGGGATTCCGGATACATATATGTCTATTGAAGAATCAGAAAACGCTACCAAAGCCAGGTCTATACCATGCCGGGCGTCAAAGCGTTTTCCGCGCGATGCGTTACTGCAACCCGGCCTATGGCATAATGGGCGGCAAAGTTGATTAACGCGCGATGCGTGTGTAAACCAATTTTCTCATTTTCCTTATTTTTTTTCTTCTTGTCCCGACAGGCGACGAGATGGGCCTGGGCAAAACGCTTCAGGCGTTGGCCGTCGCGTGCGCCTACCGAGAAGACTGGCCGGTGCTGGTGGTGGCCCCTTCGAGCCTCAAGGATAATTGGCGGAACGAGGCCATGAAGTGGGTGCCCGGGCTGACCAAGGAAGCCATTCAGGTATGCGGGAGAGGGGCGCCCCGGGGGGGGTGCTCTGCCCCAGTGATGTCGGTGTGTTTATTTTCGTTTCTTTTGCTGTGTGTCGTCGTTGTCGTGGTTGTTGTTGTTAACCCTCGGTCCGCCCTTACCGGTTGTAGAGTTCTAGAGTGCATGCGCAAGAGCCTCGCCAGCTCACGTGCCGTTCTGCCTCCGCCGCCGCCGTGGCTGCTGCTGGTGTTTATATCGTTGCCCTGATTCCTGGCTACTGCTGTCGTGCACACGCCGTCGCGTAAGCGTGAACTACAATAACAACGACCGCGCTACGACAACAACTGCATTGGCAATGCCAGATCGTCCGGGACGCGAAGATGGGTGTGAGGGACAGCGCCCAATTGGTGATCGTGTCGTACGACCTGGCCACCAGGATGGTCGAAAAATCTCTCCTATGGAAAGGACAGGTAGGTACTGCTGTTTGAGAGTGAAACAGCATTACAATCCCCCCTCGGCAAAGGAAACACATTGGTATTTTGGTGTCCTTGGTACCCCTTTTCATGTTGTACATTCTGCGGGGCACCATGCCTGCGAAAAAAACTGGTTGTCCTGAACCGGGGGAGGTGTGTTTATATAAGGCGCCCTTAACCCAGGGACGACTGTACAAGATGGTAACGATATCGACGGCTGGCCACAACACCGAGAGTCCACCTCAGTTTCCCCCTCCTCCTCGTCCCTCCTCAGCTCATTCTCCCGGCAAGTCTCCGTAGCACGACCCTTGCCCGCCGCCGCCCCTAGTAATGAAAGTAGGCGAGTGCTGGCAATCGATGGCAAGCGGTTTCATGACCCTCGATCCCATGGCACAACCACACAGAGAGTTGTACACTTACGACGTACACGATAACAACATTGCTCTTGTTCACCTCCTAATTGTCCAAGGACAGCGAGGTCGTACCGCTAACAGTTATACGTGTACCTGTCGTGAACTAATTGTCGAACTGCTGTTACCTCTTTCATTCACCCCCCAATTTTCCAAGTAGCCGTCCCCCCACGGACGTTGTTATGGTGTTGTTTTCTTGGTTTCCTTGCGGGCGTATTTGTCTCGTTGAGCGCCTTGCTGCGTTTTTCATTTCTTCCCCATGCTACAAGTGCATCACGATTTTTTCCCCGATTGCCTATGACACACAACCGAGACAAGCTGAAAACCTTGTACTTGCTCAATTGTTTCGGGCTCCCGCCATGCCTCCTCATGCCTCTCGCCCCCGTCCGGTCTCGCCCGCCTCCTGACACCGTGCCCCCGTTCAGTTTGAGATTGTGATCGCGGACGAGAGCCACTACCTCAAGAGCGTGGACGCCAAGCGTTCCCAGGCGGTGGTTCCCCTCATGCAGAAGGCCTGTGAGTGACGTTTGACAGCTTGTGGACAGAACAGAACAGAACAGAACAGAACCAGCAGAATGGGAGAGTGAAAAAATCCTTTTATGTTGTTGTGCCGCTTGATCCGTGTCTTTGTTTCGAAGTTACGTGTCTTTGTTTCGAAGTTACGGCAGTTTTTTTTTCAAGATTCGGCTTATCTTCTTGGTTGTTCGTGGCCGCAGTACAGGACAGCAGCTTCCTCGCAAAAAGTGAGGAGTGCATGTCCGGCGTTTCATGTGGCGCGCCCCAAAACACACCCCAAACCACGCTTTGGGTAGACCCACTACGATGATGCGATTGCATGCACCTCAGAGTGTTTCCGTCTGCGCTGCCCTGGATCCTTGCCTCCTTCCTCCCCCCGGTAGAGTGCGTTGTAGTCACGGCCGCGAAGTCGGTTGTAGGCGGAGACCGCGAGCGACACTAGAAATGAGGAGAGTTGTTGAATATAGGCAAGGGTGAATGCACAGCGTAATACTAACGTGATGTCGCTCAACACGGGCGATCAGGAATTGGAAAGGCCAGCAGTTCCGGAAACGCCGCCCCCGCCCCCCAACCCCTATGCGGTACAAGAAGTAGTCCATCTGAAAATTCCCACCTGAAGGATATCTGCAGATTATTCTCCAAGCTTATCACACACGAAGCAACGTGTTCGCTGCGTGTGGTGCGCCCGTTTAGTACAAGCGCAGCGATCGAAGTCCCTTGCGGTACTTGAAGTACAGTCGTGCCTACCGAATTTGAAGCGTTTAGTACGCCGCGATGCCAAATCAACCCATGGCACAGCATACACAAGGATGATGACACTAGCAGCTTCTGGTTCATCCTTGTTAATCGTAGCCTGGGCCGGCGAACACTAGGCATATGGCTCCGTCATGACGTTGTAGGGATGCGAGGTTTATGGTCTAACGACTACGACATGCGTTTACATGAGTACCCCCCCCCCCCCCCCGCTCCCCCCCCCCCTTTCCCCCCCCCCGGCCCCCCCCCCCGCCCCCCGGGGGAGGGAAAACTGG